TTGCACGGACAAAAAAATGGACTGTGTTTGTAACCTAAGCCCGTTAGTCTTTATCAGTGTGCAGGGCTCATGAAAAAAGTATTTGAAAAGGTGCTACAGGGGTAAGATTAGAGCAGGAATGGCTGTCTCAAGACTGAAGAGTTCATGCAAGACTGTAAATTAAAAGTTTGAGGAATTTGAAATGAAAAATTTCTTACATATAACAAAGAATTCTTTCAGATTCTATTTCTACTTTTGAACAGATTACTGTTCATGGAAATGATGCAGGAATGACGCTCCTCATTCTAGGCAATCAGAATGTAATATCTGTCATGATGAGAGGGTAGGGACTTTAAATGTAGGGAATTTGGCTGATAAAAGGTGAGAGCTGGTTGATATGATGAGAAGACGCTGAGATTTTTGTTGGAAGTGACCAGTAGGGACAAGTAACAGAGGTAAGACTGAGAGGGTTTGTGTGCAGAGGAGGGATTGTGGATGCAATGGACAAAGGATGTTGAATAGAGAGCTGCCAGGCAGGAGGAAAAGAAGAAGACCTCAGGGAGTAATCATGGATGTAGTGAGAGAGGACATGCAGAGGGTTGGTGTGGCAGAAGAGGATGTTAGGGATAGGCTGAGATGGAGACAGATGATCCTCTGTGGCGAACCCTCAAAGGACAAGCCAAAAGAAGCGTTGGCGTCTTAGGCCTGTGAATAGGGTCTGAGGTGATAACTGGTTTCTGCAAAATATCCCTTGTACGGTGGTTCAATTCAATTTCACATCAACAGTCACCTAAAGGTGCGTATATTATAAGGACGAGACAAAAGGCACAGTTTTAGAGATCCAGACATTAATAACAGCTATGGTTAACTGCAGAGTACAAACACAGTGAAGAATCCCCCAGCAGCCTAGACCTATTGCTCCATAACTAAGGGAGGATTCAGGGTCACCTGATCCAGCCTAATGCTTTATCAAAAACAACAGTTTTAAGCCTAATCTTAAAAAGAGAGAGGGGGTGTCTGTTTTCTACAAGCAAACTGAAAACTGGTTTCACAGAAGAGGGTGTTTTATTATCCTAGGAACCACAAGTAGGCCCACAGAGAGTGAAGTGCTCTTTTAGGGTGATATGGTTATATGAGGTCTTTAAGAACAGATGGCGTCTGATTATTTAAGACCTTATATGAAGGATTTTACATTTGTTTCTGGATTCAATCAAGAGAAGCCAATATGGGAGAAATATGCTGTCTTATTCTAGTATTTTGCAGTATTTTGGACTATATGAAGGAGTTTTTAGGACAGCCTGTTAATGAATTACAATAGTCCAACCTAGAAATAATAAATGCAGGAAATAGTTTGTCAGCATCACTTTGAGATACTGAAGTTTAAAAACAGGGGTGCCTCTAGAAATAAATATAATTTAACACACTGCACAAGTAAAGATTTCACCAAAGCTGCAGTCTGCAACATGATACCAGCATTTATGCACCTCGGCCAACTTGCTGAGCGGCAGCGTATTGGGTTCTGATGAGCCATCCATCTTTGTGCATATTGTATGAGAGCTATGGGAATCTAAATGCAACAATATTGACACTGTGCAATTAGAGTGGGGTCATTAGGGCTGCTTGCTGTTCACAGGGAGAAAAGCAAGAGCTGCATCACAGGAATCCTGTCAGGATGGGAGATGGAAAACACAAACACACACCAAAAAACTTGGACACACACACACACACACACACACACACACACACAAACAAACAGTCCTAACTCTACCCGCCCCCACCATCACATACACACATGCACCCTCACCCGCTTGTCCGCTCGTCATCTAAATTAGAGCGGGGTGATGATGGGAGGAGGTGGTGGCTAATGAAACAGAAGGGGCATCGGGCAAGCAGGACTTCTAAAGTCTGTCATCTCTGGATGCTTTGACCCCAGCTCAGCGCTTCATCTTTCTAGCCTCACTGGGCCACCAAAATCTGACCCAGCAAGACATGGAGAGAGCCACAAGCTTTTCAAAGGACCTGATTGGAGAGAGCGGGAGAAAAACAAAACAAGTGTGTGTGTGCTGCAGCGTAGCGATCACTATCCAGAGGATTATATCTATGTTCCTCTTGAATCACTTACAATAACCCTACATAAGCTATGTTAGAGGAGAAGACACACTTGTGCACACACATCCTTACTTTAATTTCAACATGTGGTGTTCGGTCTCAAGCTCTACATCCACTTTAATCCCCCTTTAGTCTGTTGTCATGTGTGCTGTTTTCACATGGTAATCATTTACTATGAAAATCACTCCTTTTCATCAAACACTTAGAAGCCTAGCATACAGCTATCAGCTATAGCTTAATATATATATAAAATACATTTATTAAAAAGGGGAAATCCCTTACAGAGACCTAAACATTTTTATAACAGGCTGAAAGTAAAGCTGGCCATTTTAACTTGAGAATTCATAGAGATTCACTCACTTTTGGTGTCAGCCTCAAGGGATCATCCAAGGACTGCAGTTTTTGGGATTTTGCAGTTTCAAATTTTACTATAAAATGAATCCTTCCGTCAGCCTAGTGCAATGCTAGAGCTTAATATTAGCAGTAAAGCAAAATAACATTGTATAACAAGTCGTTACCCCCGTTATGTTTGAACAGATGAGGACAGGGCTTTAAGGCATTGACATATTTGTATTGCCTTTAGCCACATTACATTCCCTCACTGGTCTTTGTTTAAACTTTTCTGGTCTCTTTTTCATTTCCCTTTGCTTTGGTGTTAGCAGAAACTGACAGCCTAAACAGGCCTGAAGGATGGTCAGTCTAGGGGTTGAAAAGAGAGACACTGACAGAAAGAGGGGGACCGGAGTGAAAATAGGGATAATGTGGGAGAAAGAGTGAAGGCATGCATGGATGCAGACAAAAACAGCAGGAAAAATCCTAATTGTCTGTTAAGAAGACTTTTGTTCCGTTATGTGGGGCTGACAGCATTTTCTTTATGTACCCAGTAAAAGGTCCAGTGTGAATGTGTGTGGAGAGAGCGAGAGAGGGTGTGTGTGTGGCTTTTACATGGCTGCTAACAAGTCTCGGATCACTGGTTATGAAAAGAGCTGCTGGTACCCGTTGTGTTTCTGCCGGTGGAACTCTACCCCTTGATTGGCTGGCGGGAGCTATGCTGCTGCTGCAGGCAGGAAGGGTTATTTTGAATTAGTGAATGAAGGCAATGCGAGCTGTTGGGTAATCTTTGTGGTGAGCTACTGGGTGCCGGTGGAGCAAAGAACATGACTTTCTTCAGTGTATATGTGTTTCATTACTCTATTATAATTAATATATGTTATCTCAAAATGAATTAATCCAGGTTAAGATGGGGGACAGAGCTTTATTGTAAAATTAGAATACAAACTGATCACTGATCACTGATCAAGACTGGTTAACTGATTTCTGTCTCTGACGTACTGATTCGTTCATCTTTTATAAATGTTACTCAACCAAATACATCAAGTCCTGGAAATTTCTTGGTGATAAGGAATCCCCCCCCCCCCCAAAAAAAAAAAACCAAAAAAAAAACCAACTAATTGCATCTATGCAAAATTAGCAATGATCTTCAAATCAGTTTGGTGTTTAAAGTATAACACAACTCACAGATTTACTTCCCTACAAGTTCCTTCAGTTCCCCAAACTCCCACTGGTGGTTCGACACATTGTACATGAGTCAATGTGCATGGCAGAAGCATGAGCACAGGGGACAGAGAAGGACTTGTACTCAATGAAAATTGAATCAAATTTAAATCTCTCTTGTTTGTTTTTGAAGAGGAGATTCCTTTTTGAACTTTTTTATTTGATTACACCTTTGTTATGAAACAGGAGAAATCAGAATTCCATTAGATTTTAAAATTCCATTCAAGTGACATCCCTTTAACACATGGATCAAATTACACTAAGCCAGTTTGGAACCTAAAAAGCCTTTGTGGGCATTTTAACATAGCAGTGGAAGATGGAAGTGGAAGAACTCATTTCTTTAAATAAAATATATCCATAATTATGATTACAGTCCATAATTATTTTAATATTGTTACATATGCCACTATGTCATTTGGGGGCATTGTGGATCTCAGAGAGATAAGATAAGATAAGATAAGATAGAACTTTATTAATCCCTCGGGTGGGTCCTCTGGGAAATTCGATTTCCAAAAAAGCACAGCACCGACAGAAGTTACAGAGTTACAGAATATTATATATATACACACACACACACACACACACACACACACACACACACACACACACACATATAAATACAGAGACAATATAAATAAAATATAGAAGGGGATAAAAGAATAAATAGGAATAAAAAATAAAAATACAAGTGAATTGCACATTTCAAGTATTGAGGTCTATTGCACTGTTGACTATTTACAAAAGTATTGCACAAAGGTTGCAGGAGTGAAGAGGCACTACAGCTTAGTTGTTCCCCCCTCCTTTGTCCTCCTGTCTTCCCCTCCCTCTCCCCTCCAGAGAGGAGTTAAACAGTTGATGGCGTGTGGGACAAAGGAGTTTTTAAGTCTGTTAGTTCTTGTCTTGGGGAGAAGCAACCTGTCACTGAACAGACTCTTCTGGTTGTTAATGGCCGTGTGCAGAGGATGCCCAGCATTGTTCATAATGTCCAGCAGTTTCTTTAGTGTCCTTTTCTCTGCCACTGTCACCAGAGTGTCCAGCTTCATGCCGACCACAGAGCTAGCCTCCTGATCAGTTTCTCCAGCCTGGATGAGTCCTTCTTTGCTGTGCTGCTCCCCCAGCACACCACAGCATAGAAAAGTACTCCAGCAACCACCGACTGGTAAAACATCCTCAGGAGCTTCCTGCAGATGTTAAAAGACCTCAGCCTCCTGAGGAAGTACAGTCGGCTTTGGGCTTTTTTATACAGGTGCTCTGTGTTGCATGACCAGTCCAGTTTATTGTCCACCCACAGCCCGAGGTACTTGTACTTGTTGACCACCTCCACCTCCTCCCCCTCTATCTGAACCGGCAGTGGACCTTCTCTGGACCTCCCAGAGAAGGAGAGAGGAGAGAGAGGAGGAGCCGGTTGCAGAGAGGCAGCAGCACTGAAGATTTTGTCCCTGAAAGACTGTATTTTGGTGTGAGGGATGAAAAGCAAGCCTTTGTCTGCAAGTCTGGGATGGGGTGTAGGTTTAAAGAGAAGAACAGATAGCAAGCTGAAAGATTTTATAGATGTGGGACTTCATTATGCGTTATTGGAAGCAGAGAAGGTGGGGGTGATGGGTTGCCAGGACTTAGTGTGGCTATGAATTCTGACAGCTGAGTTCTGAACATAGTTCAGCACATCCAAGGCTTTGATAGTGAGACCAAATAGGAATGCATTTATAGAGGTCAAAGTAGGAGGTGATGAGGGCATACAGGGTGTCCACTGCCGAGTCTGAGGGCACTGGCTAGAATATGTGATGAGAATGAGAGGATGAACAAGTGTTGCAGATGGGAAATTTTCATGCAAATGATGAAAAGAAGAGGCCCCAGCAGAGATCCTTGAGGGACTTCTTGTTTGACTGGAGCAGAGGAAGACCACGAGTCTCAGCAGGTGACAGTGTGTCCTGCCACTAAGGCAAGACTAAGACTGAAAGGACGCTACACCAGTGAGACCAACTTAGTTAGATAAACCCTCAGGAATGATGGAATGAGTGACAAAAGCTGCTGAAAGGTACAAGAGAACAAAAATGCTGACGTGGGAAGAGTCCGCAGCAATGAGGAGGTCATTTGTGCTCTTGATAAGAACATTCCAGTTTCTGTGATGTAGTCCGGGCACAAGACAAAGGATGAAACCATAGAGTCAAATCATTGAGACAGCACACTACTGTAATACGCCACTTTGCGGTTGGGAGTGTCAGAGGTCAAGTAAATCCCAGTGATGCTGGCTAGATCTGATGTATTAACAGACTTGATGTTCCTGTATGTGATGTATACCTGACACTGCCTGGGAAAGGAGGACAGAAGCAGAGAAAAGAATGATGTGGTAATCAGAGACAGCGATTTTAATACACTGTGGGCCAGTGGGGGTTGTACCAGTGGAAAACACTAAGTCTGGTGCATAACCTTTGACATGAGTGGGGTCTTTTACATGCTGTAGCAGTCTAAGAGTGACATAAATTCTGCAGGACAGGGGCTGTTATAAGCATGGACATTGACGTCCCCAAGGAGGTAACGAAGATAAGCAGCTCAGGCAGCCCAAAACTGAAGACAGTGTAAGCTTCTGGCAGGTGCTAAACCAGAATCACCTACACCTGCATAAAACCAGCCAATGTAAAAAAAAAAAAACACTTTCAAAAGAGGTGACAGAAGGTACAGACAGCTCTTAAACCACAATGTCAGGATGATATGTAACAGCAAGCTCACCACCACAGAAGTGTCCAAGCCACACTAAGTCCTAAAATTTTGCCATATCTAAGTAAAGAACTTAAAATTAATATTCCTGCCAGTGATGTCATGTATAAGTAATGCTTTGTTAACGATTGTATGGTAGTGAAACACGTGGAATTAACAATACCGCCAACACATACCAGTGGCCTCAGGATGCCGGGCAACAATGTGGTTTGTTGTGATGACGCCAGTGCCTGTCATAGAGAAGAGCTGGGGTGGGATGCAGTGTAAACAAACCTCCGTTGGGAACCCCAGTGTACATAACAGTGCAGATGTAGAAGTTGGAGTGACACTGAGTTATTCAGGAGTAAGGTGACAGCAAAGACTCAGATGTTCAGATTTTGAATATTTTAATGGTTTTATGTTGGTAAAGCATGAAAACTGGCAGGTAGTGACTTGGACCACCTTAAACATGCTGTTGAAGGTAATGCAGAGTATCCAAAGGTGACCCGCAGTCAAACTGTTATCAGAGAGCTGATACACTTTGAAGCAGTAATGCATCACAGTTAGTTCACAAGAGCACGGTATGACATGAGTATGCAGGAGCAAATGAGTAGTGTATCAGCAAAAGGAATAATTTTTATAGTCAAATTTGCAGAAAAATATTTTAAGCATAAATCCAAAAATGAGATTTCCTCACTTTAAACTTTAAATGGGTATTTTCTCTGTTTTGCTTTTGCAGGGCAGTATACACAGTTCAACTGCATAAACACATTACCATTTGATGGATTGAGAATTGTTATCAGTTCTGATGGAGGCCCCACTTTAGTCATTACCACAGGGACATTGGTAGAAGCTTTGCTGGACTCATGGGACTCTGAGGATAGATGGATAGACTGGTAGTTGTGATCTCCTCTGCTCAGCTGAAATAGGCAAACAGCTCTGGTCTCTGTGGGAGTATTAGAGTATGTAGATGATAGCAAGGCTGCTTTGGAGAAGCTTAGATGAGCCTTGGCAGAAAAAAACAACAGCACTTAAAAAAATAGCAATACACAAAGCCATTACAGCATAGATATTTCTAAATATACAGTCTATTAAATGAAGCTTTTATGTCTAAGACAATGCTTCCATTAGAATTCAATGATGTTTACTCTTTCACTCAACAGAGAAGAAGACAGATATTGGCAGACTGGGATTTTTGCCACTAGCAAAATTTCTCTGGGGCTTTGGGGGCAGGAATAATATTGGTTGATGTAAATTATAAATCCAGTTTTATTTGTTAGTCCCAAATCAAGGCCAAGGTAATGCCATCCAGAGTAAGAATCTGGTTAGATACCATATTTCTAAGCTTTTCAGGGCCGAGTACAATAACCTCAGTTTGATCTGAATTAAGAAGCAGAAAGTTAGCAGCCATCCAGGTCTTTATGTCTTTAAGACATTCCTGCAGTTTAACTAATTGGTGTGTGTTATCTGGCTTCATGGACAGATAGAGCTGGGTGTCATCAGCATAGCAGTGAAAATGTATGCTATGTCTTCTAATGATGCTGCCTAAGGGAAGCATGTATAATGTAAACAGAATTGGTCCTAGCACTGAACCCTGTGGAACTCCATAATTAACCTCAGTGTGTGAAGAGGACTCTCCATTTACATGCACAAATTGGAGTCTATTAGATAGATATGATACAAACCACTGCAGTGCAGTACCTGTAATACCTACAGCATGTTCTAATCGCTCTAATAGGATATTATGGTCGACAGTATCGAATGCTGCACTGAGGTCTAGCAGGACAAGCACAGAGATGAGTCCACTGTCAGAGGCCATAAGAAGATCATTTGTAACCTTCACTAAAGCTGTTTCTGTGCTGTGATGAGCTCTGAAACCTGACTGAAACTCTTCAAATAAACCATTCCTCTGCAGATGATCTGTTAGCTGTTTGACAACTACTCTTTCAAGGATGTTTGATATGAAAGGAAGGTTGGAGATTGGCCTATAATTAGCTAAGACTGCTGGGTCTAGAGATGCTTTTTGAGTAAAGGTTTAACTACAGCCAGCTTGAAGGCCTGTGGTACATAGCCGATCATTAGAGATAGGTTGATCATATTTAAGATCGAAGCATTAATTAATGGCAGGACTTCTTTGAGCAGTTTTGTAGGAATGGGGTCTAAAAGACACGTTGATGGTTTGGAGGAAGTAATTATTGAAGTTAACTCAGAAAGATCAATTGGAGAAAAAGAGTCTAACTTAACATCAATGGTACTAAGAGTAGCTGTAGATAATATTACATTTGTGGGATGATTATTGGTAATTTTTTCTCTAATGTTATTCGTGAAGAAGTTCATGAAGTCATTACTAGTTAATGTTAAAGGGATGGTTGGCTCAACAGAGCTCTGACCGTTTGTCAGCCTGGCTACAGAGCTGAAGAGAAACCTGGGGTTGTTCTTATTTTCTTCAATCAGTGATGAATAGTAAGATGTTCTGGCTTTGTGGAGGGCTTTCTTATAAAGCAGCAAACTATTTCTCCAGGCTAAATGATGATCCTCTAATTTGTGACACGCCATTTCCTCTCCAGACTTACGAGTCATCTGCTTTAGGCTACGTGTTTGAGAATTATACCACGGAGTCAGGTACTTCTGATTTGAGACCTTAGTTTTCACAGGAGCTACAGTATCCAGAGTCGTACGTAGTGAGGAGGTGAAATTATTAACAAGATAATTGACCTCTGTTGGGGTAGCGTTCAGATAGCTGCTCTGCTCTGTGTTGGTACAGGGCATTGAAGATGATAACAGTGGGTGGATTATATTCTTAAACTTAGTTACAGCGCTTTCAGAAAGACATCTACTTTGATAAAGTCTACTCTCCACCGCTGTGTAATCAATTATTGTAAATGTAAATGTTATCAGGAAATGATCAGACAGGAGAGGGTTTTCAGGAAACACTGTTAAATGTTCAGTTTCTATGCCATATGTTAAAACAAGATCTAGAGTGTGATTAAAGTGGTGGGTGGGTTCTTTTACATTTTGAGAGAAAGCCAATTGAGTCTAATAACAGATTAAATGCCATGTTGAGGCTGTCATTCTTAGCATCTACATGGATGTTAAAATCACCCACAATAATTATTTTATCTGAGCTCAGAACTAAATCTAGATAAAAGTCTGAGAAATCAGACAGAAACTCTGTGTAAGGCCCAGGTGGACGATAGATGATAACAAGTAAGACTGGTTTCTGAGTTTCACAGCTGGGGTGGACGAGGCTGAAGCATCAGGCTTTCAAATGAATTAAAAGTCTGTCTTGGTCTTTCATTAATTAATAGGCTGGTGTGAAAAATTGCTGCCACACCGCCCCCTCGGCCTGTGCTTCGAGATTTCTGGTAGTTAGAATGACTCGGGGGTGTTGATTCATTTAAACTAACATAATCATCCTGCTGCAACCAGGTTTCTGTAAGGCAGAGTAAATCAATTTGTTGATCAATTATTAAGTCATGTACTAACAGAGACTTGGAGGAGAGAGACCTAATATTTAATAATCCACATTTCACTGTTTTACTCTTTGGTTCAGATGTGGATACTGTATTGTTCTTTCTTTGTAATTGTTTATGTTTAAGTTGTTTGTTGCTGGTTTTTAGTTTGTTTTTTGTCTTTTTGGAAGCTGACACAGTCTCTATGGAGATGGGTTTTTGGGGGGGTAGCAGGAGGAGAGAAGCTGCAGAGAGGCGTGTAAGACTGCAACTCTGCTTCCTGGTCCCAACTCTGGATAGTCATATTTTGGGGGTTTAATAAATTTGTCCATATTTCTAGAAATGAGAGCTGCTCCATCCAAAGTGGACAACAACAGTTGCCTCAAGGCACTTAGTTTTGTAAGGTAAAGACCCTACAATAACACAGTAAAACCTCATCAGACGACCAACTTTGAGCAAGCACTTGGGGACTGTGGGAAGGAAAAACTCTCTTTTAACATGAAGAAACCTCTGGCATACCGAGGGTAAGGGAGGGGCAGCATCTGCTGCGACTGCTTGGAGGGGAGGGACCAGTCCACTCACCTAGAAGATGATAGAGAACATACAAACAGACATACACTACGGTTATTATACTATGATTCTATAAACCTTACCCTGACAGTAATAATAAACAATCCCCCTCCCCCCGCCAATCATTTAAATAGTTGGAATTTAAATTCAAATTTAAAAAATTGTAAACAAAGTGTGGTGTGGAGTGAATATTACATTGAGAGCAGCTGTGGTCCATATATATTTACGGTGTGGTGTCCTCAATAACCTTCTGTCACTGTAGATATTCCTTGATAAAGACAATAGTCTTGTCATCCCAAGAGTCATGCTGTGTGTGTTAGTCTGTTTATTGTGTAAACACAATACAAAGTGATTGTGTGGGCCCATTAGGTAAAAGCGACATATGTCAGAGCTCAGACACATGGGCTTCTTTCTCTGTGGGAATACAGACAATACACAGCTGGCAATCACAGGACACACAATACCACTCAGATATGTGCGGACAGCATGAGGAAAAGATATGTAAAGCTGGCCTACATGCTTAATCTGGTTGCAAGATGATTATTTTCACTGTATAATTAGGAGTAATAGGATGTTGTGTAGAACTGTTTTTTTTTTTTAGATACAACAGAAAATAATTTTGTGCTGTTTAGATTCACCATATCCGGCAGAAATACAAATATTCTTAACAACCTCTATTTAGAAAAAATGTGTTTTGATAGATATTTTTGCATTTGTGTAGAAGATGAAGCAGCAGAAGATATAAAGACTATAAACCAGCATGTACGTTAAACTTTTCCGGTGAAGATGACTTTTTACCATTTATTTTTAAATGGAGTTTAAAGTTTATAGCTTTTCTCTTTTGCAACTTGCAGCTTTTTCTGAATTCAATCAAACTTTGGGAATGCAGACTCACAAATGGATCTAAAATTGATTGTGTTATTGTTTATGCCTCTATGTACTTTCAATCAACATTTTGGTATTGAAAAATAAACGCACATTTTGTCATGGTCCTGGGTCAGTGACCCAGTGTTTTGAATTTATTAATAGGCTTTTATTTCATAATTTAGTCTCTAGGTTGTGTTTCTGTGCTCCTCCTATGTTCCATGTTTCCTGTGTGTCCTCAGTCAGTGTCGAGTCTGTGTCCTTGTAGATGTCTTTGGTGTTTTCTTTTTTTACATTGATAGCCTCGTTTTGAGTTTTGCTGTCTGATTAGTCCCAGCTGTGTTTCCACCTGTTCTCCATCCTCTCCTTATCCTGCTTGTGTATTTTAGTCTTCAGTCTTCTCATTTGTTGTTGTGTCATACCAACACTGCATGTACTGTGTGTTTCCTCTATGCTCTTCGTCACTCTTGCTTCTAGTTTATAGTTTATGGTTTCTCAGTGTCTTAGTTCCTCGTCTTTAGTTTCTAGTTCTCTGGTTTTCGATTTTCGTTTACTGTGTATTTTTTGCTACAGCACAATAAAGTTCAACCTTCTCTTTCCGTAAGTTCTGCTTTTGGGTCCTTCATCCTGCCTGCTATAGCACCAAATCGTGACACATTCCATGCAATAAATTGTTTGTAGATAATGTCACCTTTATAGAGTATCATGTGTAAAATTATACCCATCAACAAACACATTTTTAACAAGCTTAGAACTTGACAATTACTTGAAAGCTAGCTAACTTTACATTTACTTTACATTGAATGGCATATAAGAAGATTAAATCAACCTTATTGAGCATATGGCTGAGTGCAGGGAGAGCAGGCAGACTAGCACCGAAATGTTCTGGTAAAGTTAGCAGCTAGCAACAGTGTTTTACCAGGTAACCAATGTTTTTAAACTCACCTTTAACACTAGAACCAGTGTCATTTTTATCCCTTGGCATTTTAAAAACCACGTAACTCTGTTTAATTAAATGTAGTGCTGTCAGCATTAATCTCGTTAAAATGACGTTAAAGCCATAACCGCATTAATGCGGCAAATCTCTGTTAGCGAGTTAGCGCGTGTTGCCCCAATGCGTTAGCGCTGTTAGCTCCTTAACGTGTTGGCGCCGTGCAGCCCCATGCATGGGGTGATTCGCGCTAACACGCTAACGGAGATTTGCCACGTTAATGAGGTTATGGCGTTAACATCATTTTAACGAGATTAACGCTGACAGCACTAATTAAAACCCATGATCTCATATTTCATGATGTTTTCTAAAATTAGTTTATTTATCATAGAGTGAATTTTGGGGTGAGTTGGCAAAAAAAAATTAATTACGACAAATATCTAAAACTGCTGAGGACGTCATTTTTTGTAAAACAACATTTGCCCATGCTTGGTTGCCTAGCAACAGTCATTGTTTATACATATTTAGATATTAAGAATACCATAACATCAGCCAGATGTGACTGATAGATAAATATATACAGGGCTGTAATTAGATCAAAGATGAGCAATTACTGCAGGGCTGAATGGGTTGCAGATGGGAGCTGGAGCTGGGTCAGAGTGTGTGATTGAACTCATGGAGAACCTGGCTGTGTGGAGCAGTGGGAGAGTTGTAGCTGAACTGAGCAGAGGAGAGAGTTTTAATTTGAGCGGACACTCAGTAAAATCAGAAAGCAGAGCAGCCAAATCAGAAAGGTTTTGCAGGCAGCATGGATGATGTCATAAACGTTTGATTTTCTAACCCTACTTAATTTAGCAAAATGTGATTCTTATTTTGCCAGCTGTGTGGTCAGTTCAGCCTATTTCACAGTTAGCCCTTTGTTTTTAATACCTTCTTTATTTTAGCGTAACTATCTTCTTTCATCCATAATTGGTTCTTTTCTTATATTTATAATGTACGCATAATTTATAAATGCAAATTTAACTTCTCTGACACAGTCTTACTTCTACTAAAGACTAAAGTTACGTTGAAACCAAGCACACGATTGTTTTTCTTGTGACATTACCAATAAGTTTGATGTGTCACATGGCCCTCTTCCTATTGAAAAAACAAAAGTTGTATCCCAGATAGCCGACTTCTAAATGGCCACCGTGGTCACCACTCATCTTGAGGAGTTTGCCCCCTCACATATACTAATGTGCCACAAACAGGACTTTA